GAAAGAAAGAAAGAAAGAAAGAAAGAAAGAAAGAAAGAAAGAAAGAAAGAAGGAAAGAAAGAAGGAAAGAAAAAAAAAGAGTATGTATTTCACATATTTCCCACCCGAGTGGCAACGAACGAGGGGCTCCGTGCTGAGCCGCTGTCCCGCCGCTCGCTTCTCGACCCCTCGGGGATGGGGTGAGCGAGGCTGCAGGGCTTGCGGGCACCGCTCCTCCTCCGCCGGACTTTGTGCAGCCTTTTCCGGCATAACCCCTTTATTTTTTGTTGTTCAAAAAAGAGTTTCCAACTCCGATCGCTCGAATCGCGTAAGCGGCTCCGCCGAAGGAGGATTTAAAAACGGCACTGCGCACGGCATTTCCCGTTACACCGAATAATCCCGCAACGGGGAAAGCAGAAACAACGGAAAAGTCACATTTTCCTTAATCCTAAATCCGTGCGCCTCATAAGTGGGGAATTTAAAGCCGCCCGAGCGCTGCCGCACAGCGGCTCCGTCAGAGTAATCCCAACGGGACCTTCGGAGTTCGCAATATGGATGGAGTCGGTGACAAAGGGGGAAAAAATACCCAATCCAATTTAATGTCTGACAAGTGACGGCTCGGACGTTTATTTCCTCCGCGCTCGGGCCTCGAAAGGAGCCGGGGCGGGAGGGGGCGGCGGGTAGACGGGGCCGAGGCCTTCCCTCGCCGCTGCCCCTCCGCTGCCCTCGGCCGGGGACGGGAGGCCGCGGCTGACGGCGGCCCTCAGCGCGGAAAGCGGGCGAGAGTGGCCCGGTGGGGAGAGCGGGAGGGCCCGGAGCCACCGCCCCGAAGGAGCCGTTTTGCGGAGAAGGAGCCCGCGGGGCCGCTGAGCCCTTCTCCTCCCTCCCGGGGCCTTCCCAAGGGCCCCCCAGCCCCGAACCTCCGACTTCCCCCCTCCCGGGGCCTCGCGGGGACGGGGACGGGCGTTGAGGGTCCGAGCCGCGGTCTCGGGGCCCGGCGACCGCCCGCTGTGTGCTGGGGGCTCCCGGCAGCGGGGGGGTCCGGCCGGGCCGTGCCGCGAGTCCGCCTGGGTGGCAGCGAGCCCCCGTCCCTCCGGGCCGGGCTAACTTCTTTCAACAGCCCCTGATGGTAATTACAGTAATCGGGACTGCCATCTATCCTTTAAGCAATTATGACAAGCACAAAAAAGCTCCCGAGGACCCCCCGTCGCGGGATGGTCACAACGGTTTCCCGGCTGAACCGAGAATGAGAAACCCCGTTTCCTTAGCTCTAAATTTCTGGGACGGAGCGGTGCCTCGGGAGCCGCGGCGCTTTGAAACAAAGTTCCCCGGCCATCTCTTGAACCCGCGTTACCGTTTTCCGTTTTCCCGTCTCTCGTTCCGCATCGCGCTCCGAGTTTTCCCACCGCCGTGCTGCGGGGCAGAGGAGAGCGCGGCCGTGATTGCGGCGGGCGCGGAGCGGAGCGGGGAGCGGCGGTGCTCAGCTCGGGAGGAGAAGATGCGTGCGTCCTACACCGAACATCTGCGGTGTATATAGGCGTGTGTGTATGTATACGTATTTTTATATATCTGTGAAATGCGTTTGATTTTTATTTTTATTGTTATTATTATTATTACTATCATTATTATCATTTTTATTTTATTTTATTTTATTTTTAAGCAGCCCCCAGCTTTAAAACTCTCCTGGATACAGCCACGCTGTGAAAGCGGCCCAAGTTCCCCTCTGCCACTCTCCCTGTCCCCCCGGCTCTTCCCCGAGCCCAGTCCGGAGCTCCCGGCTCCCCCGCGACGCACGGGCTGGGGTGTGCGCGGGGTGCTCCGAGCCTTCATCTCCCCCCCCCCCCCCCCCAAACCCGGGGCACTCCTCCTCCTTTGTGTGTGTGTGTGTGTGTGTCTGCGTGTGTGTGTTTGTGTGTGTGCGCGGACCGTCGCCCCGCGGATGCGGAGAGCCGCAGGGGGAAGTGGAGCGCTCTCCCCCGTTGGCATTGTGCGCCATCCGAATTCCCATGCTACACTTTTTGACGGGTCACTGGTGTCCCAATGGGCAGGTGGCGAGGGGAACTTGTAATTACGCGCTCCCAGAGGCCGCGCCTCGGCCCCGGTCCTCCCCACGGGCGCTACCTGCAGCTCCGGGCCGCGGCCTGCGGCGGGCGGCGGGCGGAGGGGGGGGGGGTGGGGGGGCGGCCGCACTCGTTATTAATTGCGGAAAAGTTTTGAATGCTTTCACCTCTCTCTCCCGCCCGCCCCTCCCCGCGCGGTGCCAGCCCTAATCCCCGTCCCTCCGCCGCGCTGTGTGCAGCAGCTGTCGGTTCTCATTTGGGAAGAAGCTGGCAGCTTGCGCTCCTCGGGGGCAGTCAGACGGGGCTCAGCGGGCAGAATCATTAAGTTAACACTTTATCTAATGTCCCCATTGTCTGCCCGGAGGCATTGTCTTAGGGCCTCGGCGGAGACGTGTCTGAAAGCATCTCCGCTCCCACATTCTCCGGGAGCTCCGCGCAGAGCCCGCGCAGAGCATCCCCCCAGCAGCGGCCACAGCGCCCACAGCGCTCCCCCAAGGAAAGGGGCGGCGTCGGCGTTGGGGTCCTTAGGGAGAGAGGAAAAGGGAAGGGAAGGGAAGGGAAGGGAAGGGAAGGGAAGGGAAGGGAAGGGAAGGGAAGGG